TCTCTCATGTAATTAAGTATTTGGGGCTTATTTTAATTTTCATGATCAAAGAAAACCATGTTCATGCAATCATTTCAAAGGAAGTGGCGACTCTATGAAAAAAAGATGAATTTGTGGAACATCTAAGTAAAGCAAAAATAACAAAACGACACTATGGAACATCTAAGTAAAACTCAAGGCACCAAACCTAAGAAATTGAATTTATTATACATATTGCAAAATGAGATGATAAAAAGATGAATTTATACCTTTATTAGGAAAAACTAATTGATCCAAGAATTAGGACACTATTATTACTATATAGAAGTGACAACATGTCCAGAACCTTTAGGCTATGTTTCGTTTGAAGGAAAAGGTAGGGAAAGGAAAGGAAATATAGGGAAACATTTACAAACCTTGTATAGGTTTCCTTGCCTTTTCCCTTCCTTTCCCTACTTTTTTCTTCAAACCAAACATAGCCTTAGGTTAACCTTATCTTGTTCTTGTTTCTCTTACCATTTTTTCCCCCTTTCATCTTAAAAGAGCATTGAACCTCAAACAATGGATAACTTACACATGAGACAAAATAAAGGAAAAAAACAAAAATGTGCACATGTGTGTGTGCCATTGGTGGTGTGTATGAAATGCAAGAAAACGATGTGAGGATTTATTGGCTAAGGTAGGGTATAACCTATCAAGGGGCAACCTAAGGTTGTTCAACAAGTATGAAGAAGCCTAGAACTAGAAAATTATATTATTTGAATGGAAAGATTATTGACCATGAAATTTTACTTGATTATGAAACTTTATTTTTATTTTATTATCCCGGTCAAACCCAAGCACCATTACCCAAGTTGCCTATGTACCATTCGTGGGGGATCAGACCAAGTATAGTTTGGGTTATTTACAAATTTAAATCCAAAGCAACAGAAAATGATGCAAAACCAAAGGAATAAAACTTGCGGTATGCCACTGAAGTAGAAAGGTTCCACTATCAATAATATTCTACATTGTAAACCGGAGAAGAATACACTGATCAGTAGGATGTCTTGACATTTTATGATAATCGCAAAATGTACTCGATCTAGACCCTTGAGGAAGCACATTTGGAACTGGTTTTGGCTGAAGTGGAATTACATATCCTTCGTGTACCGGCCGAGGAAGTAACTGAGAGAGAGGCATTAGGAATGGAGCAAGCCTTCTCTTAACCCTTTTACCTAATTGTGAGGGAGTAGCATGACACTTCGTGTACCAGTCGGATTGTAGCATCTTGATAAAAAATTATGCTCAATTATCTTTCCAAAAGCGACTATGCCTTTGAAATTCTTAAAATTCTGATACTTCATGAATGTATCTCCTCCAAAGGGATACTTCATCTCCTCCAAAGGGGTGATACTTCATGAAATTCTTAAAACTCTAAGTTCCTTAGAAACAAGTTGATCATCTCCTCCAAAGGGATGAGAGTTTTCAATGGAGTAGTAGTAGGTTTCATCGATGTACATATTTAGCAAAAGATTCCTCTAATGCTTTCCACATGGCTTCTAATGTCTCTCTTGTTGGGGCCAGATCTATGCCATATTCAAACCTATCTAGAAAAGTTGTGACCACTTGGTTCCAACTTCCAAGTCTTCTTCTTATCTACTCCAAGTTATGTAAACCATGCTAGTGCTTTACCCTCCAAACTCTATTGGAAAAGTTGAACAATAACATTCTCATATGCTTTAAGTTGAAAAATCTCTCACAGTGTGTGCTCAGGTGCACTTTAGGACAACTTCTTCCATTATACTTCTCAAAGTCTAGAATTTTGACCCCCTTTTGGTAGCTCCACCCCTGGGTATATGCATAGCTTGTTAAAGTCTTGCATAGGAGAGGTCTAAATGTGCCTTATCTCCTCTAAAAGGGGTACAATTCATCAGGGAATTAAATATCTAAGACAATTAAGTGATCAACCATTCGAAGTGTGGCATAATTATCAATCAACCCAGTTTGAGCAAATTCAATTTTATCCTTCATTTGAAGATTGCCATAAGCACTCAAATTGATAAATCATCACCTTCACTACCTTAAATTGAGCAACCATTTGCTTTGTGAAACACCCTTTTGATTGATCTAAATTGGAGAAAACCTCCTTCCAACTAGTATTTATTGATGTGAATCTTTGATTAGTAGTTTTGTGTTTCTAATCTTCATGTCATAGAGTGGAGAAATATATACCAACTCTTCAAAAGCACTATCAAGAAAATCTATGTTAACACTTTAAGAAGTATAAAAAAATACACCAATAGCCCTAATCTTTGTCTAATTAAACCATTAACTAGAGGTTGTTCATATCATCAAATAGAATCAAAAGAGAGTTATTCTCATTATATTTGTTTTCTTACTACCAATTTCATAGTGTAATTTATCTCCATATTTCATGTTAATTCAATGTAGTAATGTAAAAGAATAGTATAATCGGGTAACTCATGAATTAGCCCAATATAACTTATACGGGATCATTACAGTGATGTGTGTCAGCCCGTATATCGTGCAGTATTGGTCGATACATCCAATATTCAAAGGCGTATTGAGGGCGTATCAAACAACACACTATAAAAATTAGAGGGTGGTATGATTTGAACCTAAGACACCATTGCCCAACAATTAAACATGTCATTAACCACTAAGCTAACACTCGTTTAACAATAATAAATTAAATACATTAACTTGTATTCAATTTAATGTCCACAATCAATTCAAATAAATAACATATATTATATCCAACCACCCAATTATAAATTAAAAAGAATAGTATTTAAAATTATTATTTTATAAATTAATAAAACAAATAATCTATGAAATCCACATTTATATCAAAATATGATATTTAATCTCAAGAAATTTATACAAAATAATTGTAAAGTTGTATGATATCTATGCATCTTACTATAAAATTGTAATGTATTTCTTAATATATATTTTCTATGTATTTATACACTATATATAGTTATTTTAACATTAAATTTAACGTTCGATACAATACCTAATACTAATACTTTAATCCTAGTATAATACTATTCTTTTTCATCATTCTTAATATTTGTATCATACTTTATTTCCTTTTATGTATTATAAAAAAAATTCTTTTATATAAAAAGAAATATTCTTACGGTACATAGATCATGTATTGGAACGTGTTTGGAGGGATTTTTATTGTCCTCGGATTAGGTGGGGTTCATTCAATTTACTCCACACTAGTCATAAATGTAAGTGGCGTGAATAGGACAATAACTAAAAAAGAGTACAGATCGCCTGCAACAAAACATGTTCCAACCCTCTACTAACAATATATCACGCCACACATCTCATACATGGCGAGTCTCAGTTTCGTGGTGAGATGTGCATCATTAGATCTATTATGTGTTTGGAATTGTGAGCATTTATTCACTAAACATTTGCACTTGATTTGTTTGCAAAACCGAAAAAAGCAATAATGAAGCCATTTATTTTCACTTAGGCGCCACTAGATGCCATTAGACACCACATTAGCAAAACAGTGAACAAATTGCCTACCTATTAGGGAAGCACTAAAATAAAGTTTCCCCCAGCAGTAGGCGCACACATAAATCAAAGCCTACTTTTTCGAATCTCTATGCGTATGGATCCACATAATGGGGGAAATGCTGAAGTGGCGCCTACGTGGTAGCGTTTATTCAATAAACGCCCATGGTTCCAAACACATGCCTAATTGGGAGAGGGTTGGAACTTGTTCTGTTGGCAGAAGATCATATATATAGGTCCCATTTGGCACATCTTTTTGCATGGGCTGTCAGCTTTTTAGAAGCTTGACAACTCGTGTTTTCTTATTTTCCTGTTTGGTTGGGAAAAAGTCTAGTCGCCGAAAGTTACAACCCTGAAAAGATGTGGAAATCCTAATTCGGTCTTTAAGCTGCTAAGATCTTAATGCAAAAGCTTACATTGGCTTTTGACTGTTAGATCTACTATAAGATCTTCTAAAAAAAGACTTGCCAAATGACCTCTAAAACAACCACCAGTGCACGGATGCAAGTGCTGTGAACGAGACAACGAAGAGGATTCTATGAAGAGGAAATCCTAGAGGTGTAAAGTAGGCCGTGTTGGGCCGTGCCGCCCTCCCTAGTGAAAAATTTGGGGGTCGGCCCAGCACAATCCACGACCCAGGCTCGTAAGGGCCCGTGTTGTGCCATGGGCCAGGCTAGCCGGTGGGTCGAGCCTTGGGCCAAGTCGGGCCGTGCATTAGGCCAAAGCTATTTATTTAAAAAATTGATAAAAAACTTAAAATTTTAATTTTATATGAATTTTGTGTAAACAATTGCTTATATATACAATAATTAAATAAAATAGTATAATAAAATTAAAAAAATTATTTATTTTATTAATATATTATATACTATACATTATTATATTATTATAATTTATATAATATTATATAAATATATAAATAATATATATGGGCCGTGGGTGACACAGCGCGCTTGGTCATGCCGTGCCGCCCATGGACCTAAAACCCCATGCCCAGCATAGCATGGGCCATTGTGCCGGGCATGGCCTGTGGGCTGTCGTGTCGTGCCTTGCCGCGCCTCTAAAATCCGGATTCGGCTGCAAGTTCTGTGAGGTGGGAGTGAAGAGGATGTTGTGAGTAGGGATTTTCCTTCGCAGAGGACGATACAAGATGGTGCACAGCCATCAGGGCAGCGAAGTGTCGGGCTTACGGCGTTATTTAGGGAAAAAATAGGGGTAATAAATTAAAAATTTCGTTCTTCAGCCCCACAATTAAGAAAACAAACAGTGATTAATTCGCGATGACGTCTGCTAGTTTCTCTGTTTCTCTGGTGCTTCTCTAGCAGCGGAGAACAACGACGATGACGTCTAATTCTCTTTCGTTGGTTCGTCTTAATATAGGTAAATAACTTTGAATCTCTTTCTAATTTCGTGTTTTAAATTTCATTGTATCTGTTCTTCTTGGTTTTCTTGGAAGCAACATTAATCGGTATTGCAGTTAATTGTTGAGATGCCAACCCTAATTTGCAGTTCATCCAGAAGAAAAAGAATGAAATTATAATATTTTGTTGTTCTTATTTGGATTCTTTACTGAAGAATGTGTCAGTCTACTAAATCTTTGAAATTGTCTGAATTACTCGCGTCTTTAGTTCCCGTTTTGCTTTCATTACATTCGCGAGTAAAATGTAAGCTATTTTCATGGTTATGTTGTTGCTTGTTTCTTTTCGCCTTCTTTTTATCCTTTTAGTTGAGGTTGTTTTAAATGATTTCTTTATTTTAATATGGAGAATTCGTTCAACTTATAAATATTTTCTGGTTACTAGGAGGGAAAAAATTTTGTACAACGATTGACACATTAACCCAAAGGGAGCCTGATTCGATGCTTGCTGCGATGTTCAGTGGCCGTCATACATTGTGTCAAGAAAAGGTACTTCCCTGCTATTGTTGTAGAACTTATGTTTTATGATTCTGCTTTACCATCTCTGCTATTTAACCATGCCATCACGATTTTAACATTGAATTAAGGTGCCTTGACTTATGGACATAAAAGTAGCAATGTCAATAAAGCTACTTGGTGCTGGTGCAATGGTGAAGTGTAAATGCCTCATTGATTAGGGCTTATTCTACGTTGTTCCATTAGGCTCAGTTTTGAAAGAGTACAAATACAAATATGTACAGTACAAAAACATACAAAATGCAAGGTTTTGCACTCTACATGTTTGTATTTGTATTCCTTCCGAACTGAGCCTTAGTAAAAACCCCATCCTCTAATCCCCGGAAAATTTTTCAAGGTCATTTTAATTACTAGAGTCCTATAATCGCAAGTCAAACCCTAGGCAGATCTCAGTGAAGAAGAAGACGGAGAGCTTTGTTCAGGTGACAAAATGGAGAAGAGTATTTCAGCTGGAGAAGAAGAAGATCCTATGGAGGAGATAACAAACAAAGGGAAGAAGAGTCTGAAAATAAGGGAAGACTGACGAGCAATGATCCTAATGGACTCAGAAGTGGTGGACTGGTTTAAAGGCTTCGTAGATGGTTTATTATTCGCAGAAAGAATACAAGATGGGGAAATGAAACGACAAACAATGGGAAGAGATTAACAGTAGAAAATAGAAGGAATAGGAATGGAGGATTTATTTTATTAACAGAGTTCTATGGCAAAGGGAGGAAACAGATAGTATGCCTACCGGAGGGACAAGCTAAACAGGGGTGGAAGACAGTCACAGGTGCACTTGATGAGTCAACCAGAAAAAAGGGAGCTCCTAAATACTGAAGAGCAAACTTTGAGGGAAGAACAAAATTCGGTGGAGGTAAGTGAGAGCTTAACTGGGAAAACAAGCCAGTTAAAACAAAAAAATAACAAGACTACTCTCATAACAGTACTTTCAACAGATAATAGTTCGAAAATATTGTGGGATGGAAGGAACGTGGACTGGGATAAGAGGAAGGTCGTGAAAGTAAAAACAGAGGTTGAGGATTGGAAAGAAGTATTGCAAATCTTGATGGAGACACTTCAGCCAAAAGAGAAAATTACCCTTATCCCCTTTGAAAAGAGTAAAGCAATTCTTGACATGGCCGAACATCAGATTGAGAGTAGAATCCTAGAAACCAAACTTGGCCAGATTGTAGTGGAAAACTGGTCGCCCTCCTGTAACGAATTGAACATCTCTCAGAAGACCACAATTATCAAGATTCTGGGGTTACCTTTTAACCTTTGGCAAGAACACATCTTCCACAAAATAGCAGTGGTTTGTGGTGGTGTGTTGGAAGGGTTTTGCGTGCAAAATCTTCAAGTGGCAAAACTCAAAGTGGCAGGAGTAAGATCTCGAAAAATACCAAGTATGGACATCTTTGCTGATGAATGTTGGAGAACGGTGTGGTTGGCGTCGGAAGTCGAAGCAAATCTCTGGAACAATTCAGAGGAAGAAGAAGATGCTGACATGGAATTTTGGAGGCCATGTGGTAAGAGCTGGGTGGACCGCTCGAAGGTCAAGTTGACCAGGAAATTATGGAAGCTGAAAAGTTGGGTAATAGTCTAAAGGACTCTTTGCCATTTAAGGGAGAATTTTCGAAAAAATTTGAATGGGATCCAACGGCCCAAAGGAAGTCCTACTCTAAGGTGCTGCGATCGAGAAGCGGGCTATCTTGTGCCCATCTCACAAAGGAAAATGGGAAGTTTGAGCCAGAGCTACATAACCTGGCCCAAATGTTTAAACCGGTTCATAATATTAAAGTTGGGTCACGTGACCCTTTAAAACTCACGCACGAAGGTCCTATGTGCCTATGGGGGATGATAATTGTGGTCTATCATCGTCTCCATCGACCTCCCCTTTGACGTCTATCAGGCCCTATGCGCCTATGCGCCTACGGGAACGACAAACAGAGTCATCCCCCCTCTCTTTCTCAGGCTGCAGGCGCCTTCTTTGCACAAGGAAAGATTCTTCAATGGAGGACGGCTGCTGAAGAGAACTCCATGACGCTTGAAAAGCCGAACCCTTGATACAATAGGAACTTGCAAGGGGATTCTGAAGATGATAGACTGGGAGGATTTGAGAGATTTGGAAGAGGAAGAAGTGGATCAGCTGTCGAGCATAGGCATCCCCGACTCAACAAAGGTCTGTAATTATATAGATCTCTAGGTCTTTGGAACTGAACTCCTCTTTAATGAAGAAGCTAGTACGGAAGTTTTTGAACTATAGGATTCAGGGGATGGTGACTCTTCTGCAGAGAGTGGGAGGCCTCTAGATGATTCTTAGAGAGAGGAGAAAGTAGAAACAAATCAAGAACAAAAGCAGGGTAGCGGGTTTGAGGAGATGGATTTGCACTGCAAACCAAACGTGGAACCACTTGAGGAACAACTCCCCCCAGTTGCACAGGTGGCTATTGAACTTGAACTCGAACCATTAGGGGTTGTATATGGAGTGGTCGATGGAAACCAGACTCAGGATCAGGGAGTTTCTTCCCCCCTTTCCCTTACCCTAATTCTTTCTCCCTCCCCATTTTACTTTCAAAACTCAATCGATATTGCTCCTTGTAGTAATCCTCAGCCTTTGGTTTTTGCAGTTCCAGCCGTTGAAACTTCACCGGTGGCGGATAATGACCCTTGTGAGGCAGGAGAAGAAGACGGGAGAGGAGATAAAGATAGGGAGGAGGAAGTAATCCTGAAAGTGAATCAAGAGAAGGTGTCAGAGAAGGAAGAAGGGGAAAATGGAACAATTGTAGGCACAGAAGAAGAGGGGAAGGAACTTAGTGTGTTAGATGAGAAAGAAGATGAATGCAGAGAACCACCCAAACTAAAAGGCAAGAACAAAAAGAAGCTAGAGGAAAGTTCACCAAAGGGAAGGTCTATCTTAGAAAGGAGATAGGAGATGACAAAAAAAGAAAAAGGAGAATGAATGAGGTAGAAAAGCTAATCTATGGAGTATCTTATGAGAAATCTGTAAATAGGAAGAGGGGGAAAAAAAGAGGAGACTAGGACTTGGAAACATGGAAGGGTTTAGACAAAACGTGGAATGAAGATTCTTTGTTGGAATGTAAGAGGGTTAAGGAGTGCAAAGAAAAGGAGAATCATTAGGAATGTGATAAGAATGGAGAGATCGGTAGTAGTCATGCTCCAGGAAAAAAAACTTTCGGATTTGGACGGAAGATGGATAAGAAGTATTTGGAGTAGTAGGGGTCTAAGTTGGTCCTTTGCCCCATCTTGGGGTGCCTCGGGTGGTATCCTTACAATTTGGAAGAACAAGGAAGTTGATTGTCAGGAGGAATTGATAGGACAATACTCAGTATCAATAAAAACCAAGAGGATGAGTGATGGAAGGATTTGGGTGCTGACTAATGTGTATGGCCCAAACTCATATAGAGAGAGGGATACATTCTGGGGGGAGTTAGCCGCAATTAGGGGCCTTTGGGATGGCCCATGGTGTTTGGGAGAGGATTTTAATGTGATATGAGTCCCTAGAATTGAGAGAACCTACCTTATTGCAAGCCTCTTTCACTTGGTCAAATCTTTAGGAAGGTCAAGTGTGTTCAAAACTGGATAGGTTCCTTTTCTCCATTGATTGGAAGGAGTCGTGGGGAAGCTTAACATTTAAAGCCCTTCCTAGAGTAACCTCAGACCACTGCCCCCTAAGCCTCTACCAAGAAAACCTTATTGGAGGCCCCACACCTTTTAGATTTGAGAATATGTGGCTGGAAGTTCCAAACTTTATGCAAAAGGTAAAAGATTGGTGGTCAGAAGGTGGAATAAGGGTTAGAGAGAAAGTGGTGAGATTCTTCAAGAAGTTGAAAAGATTGAAGGAAACGATCAAGGAATGGAACAAAGAGGAATTTGGAAAGCTTGAGGTCATACAGGAGGAATTAGCTAGGAAAATAGAGGATTTGGACCAAAAGGAAGGCCATAAAGAATGCGGGTCGGAGGATAGAGTTGAAAGATGGAACTTAAAAGTGCAACTAGAGGAGATCCTAAGGAAGGAAGAAATTTCTTGGAGACAAAAACCAAGGTGTAATGGCTTCTAGAGGGGGATGGAAACACCAGTTTTTTCCACTCCCTAGCAAATGGGAGAAGAAGGAAAAACCAAATATCTAGTATAGAGGTGGAGGGAAGAGTAGTAAATTCAAAGGAGCTTTGTGGATCATTTCAAGTCAATCCTTGGATCCTCTGTTGAAAGCAATTTGGAATTGGGAGATTTACAATGGGATAGAGTGCCAGAAACCGAAGCTGCCCTCTTAGAAAGAGCCTCCAGTGTAGAGGAGGTCTTTGAAGCAATTTTCTCGATGGATAGATCGAAAGCTCTGGGGCCGGATGGTTTTTCAATGGCTTTATATCAAGATTGTTGGGAAATCTTGAAGGATGATTTAATGGATGTCTTTGTTGAATTCTATCAAAAGGGAAATTCTCTCCAGGAGCAAATGCAACCTTTATTGCTCTAGTGTTACAGGGGTAGTTCTACTGCGTAAGAAACCCGTGCGGCGTCCAGGCCAAGGTAGGCCAGGACAAGCCTTTGTGTGCTTGGAGGCTAGGAGTTGCCCGATGAGATGGCTCCACCAAGGTCAGTAGCACTGGATCATGACCTCAAGTCGCATGGCTAGGGCACTCGGCTGGCTCAGACCGGTCCATGGGAGGTGCTGCTTACGTGCTAAAGGGGGATGGCCATAATGCAAGGCGACTGTACGCCGAAGAGGTGACTGGGCACCGATGCGAAGGGTCTCCTGTACGCCGATGATGTGGGCACCTGTGTGCCATGATGATAGGCAACCGTTGGGCCGAAACACACCCATGCGCTAGGGGCAACGGGATAGCTCAATCAGCTTGGGCAAGGGGCTGGCGAGGTGAAAGGTCATGCTTGAGCCAAGCCTGCATGCCAAGCCTCCCTTGAGTGTCGATAACGTAGTGCCAGTCCATGCACTGTCCCCATGAGCATGTGTGCG